TTTATCCACTTGTACTGGTTTCCGATAACCAGTTCTTTTGCTGTGACGGCATCCTTATAACCGTTCCATTTCCTTTTGCGATGACGGCATCCATTTAGCCGTCTCTTGCTGTGGCGGCATCCATCTAGCCGTTTCTTGTGGTTGCGGCATCCATATAGCCGGTCCATTTTGCTTTTTCGCTGACGGCATCCGTATAGCCGTCGCAGTGGTCACATTCACTGCAGTACCATTCTGCAGTGGTGACCTTTCCGTTCCCTTCTTATCCGGTGGTTTAGGGTCGGGACGATCAGTAGGCTCACCGGTGCCTACTGATCTCGCCCGTTTCCCTGAACCGGCGCCCCACCTTGTTGCGCGCCCTGCACATTTCCTTGCACATTTCCTTGTCCGTCGTTATTTACCGGGACATAGTTTTGTCCGCCTCCATTATTCTGGCCACCACCATTATTTTGGCCACCACCCTGTTGGTAGTTTCCGCCTCCATTTGCACCGCCTCGGTTGCCGCCATTCCAATTTCCGCGGCCGAAGCCTCTGTTTCTTCCTCTGAAGCCGCCGCGGCCGAAGCCACCACGGCCGTAGCCACTATTCTGGCCACCGCCATTTCCATTATTCCCGTTTCCTTGTTGATTTGGGAAGTTTGCCCGAGCCTGATACCATTGCGCAATCAGGTCATATCCATTTGCGACTGCTTGGCGCCAACCACCGAGCCCGCGCAGTCGTTGCCACTCGTTAAAGGCAAACAGGTTCGGGTTCTGTTCCGGTGGTGTGTTGGCGAATTTGCATCCCTGGGTTTGGTGGTTGCCGTACATACAATACTGGCACATCTGCACACCATTTGCAACCCATCCATCGATCATCTGAAACTTGAATTCCGTCCGTGACCCCTGGTTCTGCTGGAAGTTATTCTGGTTTCCTCTATTTGGCTGAAAGTTGCCTTGACCTTGACCTTGTCCCTGATTCTGGAAGTTCCTTTGACCTCCATTCCAATTTCCGTTTCCATATCCATTTCCGCCAAAGTTTCCATTTGGCATTCCCTGTTGTGGTGTCGCTACGTTCGGTGGTGCCACATTCTGGGGTGCTGGCCTCACTTGGGCCGCCGCTTGTATCGCCGCCACCATCGCGTATGTTATTGGCTGCCCCGTCTGGCCATCGATAAAGGTCACTCTTTCCGTGACCTCTCTTACAGGGTTTCTGCACGGAATTCCACCGGCTGCTGGATCGGTGCAGCTGCCATTCTCTGTTGCGGTACGTTCTCCACCTGGCCTTGGCGGATAGTCACGTATTCCTGATTACGTTGACCTTTTGGCGCCTTATACTTTTCATCTCCTCCTGTTGCCCAGTGTCGGAAAAAGTCCTTTACATCAGTCGGCGTCTTACACTTTTGTATGCGCAATGCCTTATAGAGTTCATTGTCTCTGCTGCAATCCTTCGATAGAGTTCATTGTCCCTTTGCTGCCCTGCTTCTCAAGTGATGATTCTCAGTGATGATTCTCTTTGCTTTGAATCGCATCATCGCTTGGTAGTACTGGTCAAGTGATTCCTTTCCGAGTTCGAACTTCCTTGCATAGGCCTCTCGTAAGCCTAAGACTTCTTCGTCTCGGTCACCATACTCGTCTTTGAATTTCTCCATCCATTCTTTGACTGTGTACTCGATTCCGTCTTCTGATGCTATGTCCTTTTCTCCTTCGAACCAACCTTTGGCCGGCCCTTTTACCGCGCTGGCTATTTCAATCATTATTTGTTTGTCGGTGAGCTGGTAGGTATCCTGGGTTTCTCTCACCAATCTTGTCCAACCATTCACGGTGTCACGGCTGCCGTCAAAGGTCATCAGAGGTGTTTTCCGAGCCATGGAATCGAGCGCTTTCGCTAATGCGAACCCCCCTCTCAGGTTGTCTTCTTCTTCGCTGCTCTCATCATCGTTTTGGTTTCGCCTCTGCTTTGCGTAGCGGGATTTCCTCGGACGCTCCTGCCGACTAGGGGGTCTGTCCCGTCGCCCTTCGTCGATGAACGCGTTGACTTCGATATGTGGGGGAAATTGTGAAGGTTCACCTCGGCTCGAGTGTGAATAACCTGATGGTGGTTCCTTATCCTTATCGTCTTTGACCTTTTCACCGTCTTGTTCTGCTTTGACATTTCCTCTGCCAGTGCCAGTCCGTAAGGGCATTTCAAAATGGAAGCTTTTGCCCGTGCCCGTTTCATGCGCCTTGCTGTAACTGGGCGGGGGAGACTCCACTGTTGCCGTCTTCACTCCATATTGCAGGAGTTGTTCGTCCTTATGTTTGACTGACGTTTGGAGTGCCTTGTTCTCATCTTCCAATCGTTTAGTTCTCAGTCGAAGTTCTTCTCTTTCTCTCTTTAGATCAGAATTTTCCAGGTTGACCTTTCGTAAGTGTTCGTGCAATTTAAAAGACTCCTGCTGGGTGACCTTTTCATTTTCCTGTTCCATCTTTTTGATGTGCTCGACCAGCTCACTCGTTTCATTTTCGAGTTGCTGATACTGCCCAGCGGCTGATCTCAGCTGATCCTTGATTGCGATCAACTCATCATCTTTTGCCAATGCTGTGGTGGTCATCTCGACGAGGTCAGTGTTCAGCTTTGCAATCTCCTGACTCTTTTGAGCGACTTGTTGTTGCCACTCTTTGTCCTTCAGCTCCAATGTTGTGACCATTGTGTCCAGTCGCCGTGCTTCCTTCTGCCATTTGAGTCCTTCCTTAGTGACCTTTTCAATGTCTTCTGTGACCTTTTCGTTCTCCTGGTTGACCTTTTTAATTTCTTCTTTCAGGCGTGCTCCTTCAGTGGCTGTAATGTCTCTTGCCTCTCGCATCGCCTTGATTGCCTCATTGCGCGACTTTTCAGCTTCGTCAGCCCGTTCCTGATGACCTTTCGATTCGAGTTGCAGAGTGCTGACAGCCTCCTCCCGTAGCTTCAAGTCATTCCTTAGTTTGAACGTCTCCGTTGCCAATGTCGTTAACCGTTGTGTGACCTCTGCGAATTTGGTCGCGTATTCGTCCCGTTTAGTTTCAGCTTCAGTGACCTTTTGACGCGACTGGTCGCACTCGTCCTTCAATTCCGCCAAGTGCCGTGACCTTTCTGCTGATTCCTCTGACATGCTTTCATTAAGGTCATGACCTTCCATTTCTCTGTCATCTGCCATCTTTAGGTACTCTTCTGCAATTTCCTTTTGTCGCTCATATTTGACTTTCCAACCGTCTGCGGAGCTCTGGAGGTCACCCTGTTGCTGTTCCAATTCGAATAAGCGAGTTTCGAGTGTCGATAATCTGTCTCGATACTCCTGTTTCCGCTTGTCCGCCTGACGTTCAGTGGCATCAAGTTCATTTTCCAGCTCCCTTACGCGTCTCCTAAGAGTTAACGTAGGACTGTTTGGTGACTGTGGTCGTACATTGATAACCTTTCCATTCTGTGTCCGGTCAATTAAATGTTCGGGGATATCCTTAAACGGGGTCACTTCTTCTGCTCGGTCAGCCTCTTTCATTGCAGTTTGAAAGGACATATTCATCGTTGCGTCATCATCTGTGAAGTATGACTCGTTGGATTCATCTGAGACCATTGGAGTTGCAAAAAGGTCATCATCTGCCGCTTTCATTCAATGAAAGGTCATCCAATCCCAATTCAGTCAATCCCTCTTCGGTGACCTTTGTGTTTCTCTCTTCCACTTGAGCCAGGTTCACATTTTTATCCTGCTCATGCGTTCCGCTAATGGTAGCATCCAGCTGTGATGCTCCAACTGGTTCCACTCCTTTCCCTGTGGGCATTTCCTCCCCGGTGACCTTTTTCTGGTTCATCGGATGACTTCCCGCCGCAGATGCGGGAGTATCCTTTCCGTCACCGCTGGAGCTCTCCTCATTCTGTGTAGCTCCAAGCGCCACTTGGTATGTGCTATCACTGCCTTTGCTGTCTTTTCTTGCAAAGGTCACAGCCGCTCGGGTCTGTCTATCATGTCCGACTGGACGCGCGAGCGACTTGTATTCCTTCTTATATGGATCAACTGCGCTTTGTTGTGATCCTCGGGAGCTCCTGCTTCCCTGACTGCTGGTAGATGTCGGTTCCTCTTGTTCTTTGTCCATGTTGATCGGATAACTTGGACGCTCCTGTCAATTGTTCTCACACACACGTTATTGTATGGTTTATTCAATTTTCCTAAAGGTCACTTTGTACCTCCGAAATTTTTCTAAGTCCTTATTAAAGGTCACTTTTCGACTGAAAAATTTCGACTAAGTCCTTTGTAAAGGTCACTTTTTCGGTAAAAAGTTCGAGAGATTTGCCCTAAAAGGTCACTTTCGGACAAAACTTCAAAACCGCTTTTACAGCTCAGAATACGTTAGCGAATGAAATCCTACAGCTGCTGATATCGCTGTACTATTAATCAACTCAATTCCAACTTCGTTAAAGGTCACCGTTGATCACTTTCAGATCATAAAGGTCACTAAAATTAGGTCAATTTGGTCAATTCCAACTTTTTGGTAAAGGTCACTTTTCAAAGTCAAAAGTCAACTTCTGGTCTCAAAGGTCACTTCCCGACTCAACTCAACTCAAAGGGTCACTTTCCAGTTCAATTTCTGTTAAAAGGTCACTTTCCACTCAATTCCAGTTAAAGGTCACTTTTAAGCTCAATTCGATCAAAGGTCACTTTTCCTTTGTCTCAACTCAAAAGGTCACTTTTCGTCTCAATTATCTTATCTCAAATCAAATTTCCCATTACAGCTAGAGTTCAGTGGAAAATCCCCATTCGGGTTGTTTACTTCTTTCCTATTGGTCGGCTAGCTCAAATTATTCAGTTCAAATTTCAACCAATCACAGCTCAGATAACCGACCAATCGCGTTAGTCCATTTAACTTTTATATTAGCCTGACGTCACGGTCAACGGCCAGACGTGCGCACCGTGTGCAAAACCCCGCCTACTTTTACGCTCAGCTCAGTACGGACCAATAGAAATTGTCAAATTTACCAACTAGCCAATCTCGTAATTATTAGCGGTTTTCTACCTGTTAACCGTCCGTCCGTTCCGCGTTCCACGGGGAAATGATCCAAATGATCCAGATTCTTCTTCCACTATCCGTTCCCGCGCTGCCGCCGGTTTTACCGTAACGGTGGTGCCGCACGCTTTCAATAGATTACTGTGCCGGCTGACTGCCGTAGCAACAGTGGTGGCGCTCTACTCCAGTTTGGAGGAGTCTGATCGGTCTTTTCCGTACGCCCCTTTCGGCGTTTCGGCGCTTCTGCCCCACGGCTTAGGATTCGCTGAATCCTTGCCGAGTACCAGTGACACCAGTGTAGGTCTTCGCTGAAGACTCTACACCGAGGAACACTGGCGACTGCTCTCTTGAACTCTTGCACAGCTAAGGAAACAGTACGGTTCTTCGCTGAAGATCCCGTACCGAAAACCGAAGCTGGAAAATCCACGTCAGATGGAGGAATTGCACCGCTTGTGGTGTTGCGCTTTGCTGTGAGTACAGACCTGTGCCTTACTGGTCGGGTTCCACGTCAATAACAGGCCAACTTTGCCTGACACAAATCAAATCAGAGAACCGCTGTCGGCTCTGCTACCATCTAATGGTAGATCCAGAACAGATCCACGGACGGAGACAGAAACGGAATCTATCCCGTGGAAGTGAGCAATACGATCTGGATTGCGAACTATTGCGGAATCACAAAACGTCGCACCGTAAACTGCTGACTTTTTAATATTGAAAGTTCCGACAATCGAAAATCAATAATGATCGGCGCAGCTCGATCGTAAAACGTGGAGCCCATTCAACAGCGTGCAACGCTGTGCAGCACGTGCTATGCCGCGCCCACTAACAAAACACAAGCCAATCAGAAGCGAGACACAACACAGGCCATAATCCAAAGGCGTAGCGCCTAGCGCCACTGACGTGAACGCTAGTGATCCCGGTCTCACAGAGTGATACCATTCTCAATTTTCTCGCTATTGATTCCTTTCCGTGCACGCAGATTTTAGCGGAGGATGTCCTCTTCCTCCCCATCCGATACGTCCGGCCCAGAGCTCGTAGCCCGCTCTCCACAGCCTCCGGCACAGCGACCCCCCGAACCGGGCGGCAGTCATCATCACCTGCAGCCGGCTAGTGGATCGAGCCGCACGACTCCGGCGCCCGGAAATGCCCAACACCAGGAGGAAAAAGAATCCCCCGCTCACAGCCTCTCTAGTCCGCCTCCACGTATCCGGCTGCTTAATTCGTCTCCTGTAAAGAGACTCGTGGTGCCTGCTGCGACTGCACTGCCGCAGCCAGCTGGCGGGGTAGGACTGGGTCGCGGACGTTTGAGCCACGAAATTCAGTCCAGCGGACGGCGGCGTACACCCGCTGCGGTGAAGCGTGCAAAGTATGCAGTGCCGTAATAAGAGCCGGCGCACCATTACATATTTTAATTTTTTGTTGCTTCATTCTCTTGACGGTTCGTATCTGTAAGCGTGCGTTGTAACTTGTAGCGCTGCCGATGTGATGGCTCATGTTTGGCAATCTCTGGACGGCCCGCCTGATGGAGGATGGCGTAACAGCGGCTTCTGGTCAGCCTCCTCCTCTGTCCCGCATCATGCGTCACCGCGTGCTCGAAGCACAGCGGAATCGGTGGCGTCCCTCGGAGGGGAAACAGCGGCAGACACCGCATCGGGCTGGCTGGACGACGCCATTGATTTTCGCCAGCTAGAGGACTTGGCTGCTCCAGGGATCGCCGTCGTGGGTGTGCGCGAATATTCACTCGGTGGCCAACCAGCCTCCCGCGGCACCCCGCTCGACATTAATCGCTAAGCGGTGATATGCTGGTGTTCTGGTGAGAGCAGCATAGTCAGCAGTATGAAAAACCAGAGGATGTTAACTGTTTGCAGTGGACTGGAGCAAACCGTTGTGACCGTGCACGCGACGGTGAGTGTGTACGATGACGTGAGCAAGCGCTGGCTGCCGGCGGGCAGTTCCGGCGTTAACGGCACCTCCAAGGTGCAGATCTACCAGCACACCCTCAACAACACATTCCGCGTCGTCGGCCGGCGCATGCAGGACCACGAGGTGTGTGATAAATACCTTTATTCACTACTCAAATGTACAAATGGGTGCACGCTGCGCTTCAACGGAAGATGTGTGTGTGTTTTGGCGCAGGTAGTGATCAACTGTGCCATCGTCAAGGGCCTCAAGTACGACCAGGCCACGTCCACTGTCCACCAGTGGCGCGACAGTGGCCAGGTGTACGGGCTCAACTTTGCCAGCATGCAGGACGCCAAGACCTTTGCGGCCGCCATGGGCCAGGCCGTCGAGGCCCTCAGTGCCGTCAACCAGGCCCGGAATCTCAACAGTAATCCCCCGGGTAGGCGTCGCTGCTCACTGTATATTTTTGCCGTACATTTGCTTTTGGCTACGCTTCTAACAGAACAAAATAAACAGCAGTGTACCAGCTTTTTGACCTCACTGCTTCCCATGGTGCTCTCCAAGGGAGCGCTTGAATTATAACTGCTTTGTGATGGTGATGGTGATGGTGAATGATGGTGTTGACAGGTAACCGGTACGGAAGCACTTCGCCCTCTGTGAGTGCCGCCTTCATTCAGCCGCAGCAGCAGATGGGCGGCCTGTATGAACCGCACCAGCAGCCGCAATCCAATCCCGACGGAAACGGAAGCTCGCAGTACGGTCACACTGCCGAGTCGGGCGCGAGCCATGGCCGTGCGCAGCAGCTGATGACCAGCGGCAACAGCAGTGACAACGACGACCACTACAACGACATCTACAGCCAGTTCAACCGGTAAGGCTGTACTCCTCACTTTGTCCAGACTCAATTTCACCCTCATCAAGCAATTAAAAATTAAATAAATATTAAACAAGCATTCAGATACATTAAAAACCTTCTTCAAATATAATTTGATATTAAAATGACGTATCCACTGCAGTGGCCAGCAGCGCGAGGACTACTACAGCAGCCGGCGCGAGTGGAACTCGCAGCCGCCACGGGGCGTCCCTCCCGGCCACCACGCGACCTTCATCCAGAACGTTAGCAGTGCGCCGATGGTCAACCAGTCCATGGTGGACAGTGTCTCCTCGGTGTCAGTCCTGCACCAACCGTCAACAGTGCTGACGCCGCAGCGAGCGATCGTCGATGCGCAGCGTGCCCATCTCGTGTCCGTCACCGATGCTCGCCGGAAACGTAAGCGTCCCCGCGTGGACGCCAAAGATCTGCGCAGTGTGGCCAATCCCACTCGGACGGTACAAACGCCCGGCATCGACTTGCCGCCATCCACCGCCAGGTAGCTGACGAATTAAGCAGCATACAAAACTAACAGCATAAAATTCTCGGTAATAGAAACTATATAAACACAGCATAATTAATTATTTATTTGTGTCTATCGCTATAGTGTTATGCCAGTATTCATCCGTGCTGGGCTTGTTCAAGCAGTAGTTTTGCTGACTGTTCTGGTTTTAATCTCTCAGGACAAACAGATTCCAACTGCGGCCGCGAGCATCCCCAATAATTCACGAGGAGGTCCTCCACGAGGCCGAGCTGTGGATTCAGGGAGTGTTGGATGACGAGGAGCAGTCCTCACGCGGTCCGCCCCCGACCTCGGTGGTGACCACCGAAGAAACCCCGCCGGGACCGGCCGAACGGGAAAGGCGACGCGTGCGGAAAAGAGCGGGACGAAGCGCTGGTGCAGGGCGGTCGGCAATGGTGACGCGCTCGGGGCGAGGTGCACGCGCAAGCCGGGACGGTATTGCAGACCGTCCTGTTTCTGACGATAGCGGAGAGTCAGATTGGGACAGCAGCCCGAAACCACCAACCAAGCGTTACACCGTTCCTAAACGCCGACCCCGCGGCATCCAGAAGAAGATGAATTTGTCCAGGGAAATCGAGTATGAATCCAATCCAATCGAGTATGAATTGCAGTTAATATTAATTACATCAAAGCAGTTTATTATTTCTATGCCGGCACATGCTTTTCTTGTTTTGGAGCATTTTTAAATATATATCAATGTAAATTTTGTTGATTTTACAGCTGATTAAGAGCCTTGAAGACATGGCCAATCGTCGGACTGGTAATGGGACCAAATATTGGTTCTGTCCCTACTGTCTGCGCCTAGATAGATTCTGGACATTCGAAGGCTGCGTTGGGCACCTGCTGGGCCGATACAAAGGGACACCGCAGGATGCCTGTGTACGATGGCGGAGTCATCCTGAAGAGCCGACACGGTACCTTCTCTGTCGGTTGCCGAAGCGTCTGCCGCTGTATCGGGTCTTAGCAGACACCAACGTCCGCGTCAAGGATCAGAAGCCTACAAAATGGGGACGACTCCTGGAGTGGGACGACTACGATCGGGGTCCCGAACGCGGCGTAGTCCAACTGCCGTACCTGCAGTCCTTCCACCACATCCAGCTTGACCATTATACGGCAAAGGGTCAGAAATTGGTGGTCGAGGCCACGTCCGCGTGGCTGAAAGAGCGCCGTTCGGAGGATTTTAACCCGGATGGCACTCCGCGTCACACTACAGCGGCCGGTCGGCGACGTGACCGCTCGCAGGGACCGCCTGCTGAAAATGTCGGAGGCGCACAAGCCGGCGCAGACGATGCACAACTGGAAGTACTGGCCGGTAGGTTTCTTGTGGTAACTGCATTGCAGTGCTTTAATTTACTTGAAATGTATTTTTATCTTGCAGGTGTTGTAGACCATGCCGTCGTCCATGAGGTCATACCAAAGCGCGCGACGGCGCGAAAGACCATCGTCCGACCTCAGCGGGCCAGTACTGGCGACACTCGTACTGCAGCGCGGTTGGTACGCGACGTCCGCCCCCCGTTGGGTTCGAACCCCGATGCTGCCGCTGACGAGGTTACGACAAAACGAGGGAGAGCGCGCAAGACGGCGGTCAGGCCGCAGAAACTGACGACCGGCACTGCTGGTGCCACTGCGCAGGTGCGCGATGCGACCCCGTTTGCGGATCCGACCGTGGAGTCTGTCGATGCGGCGCTGGAAGTGTCGCCGCCCGATCAGCCGCCAAAACGGCAGACAGTTCGGGCATCGGTAGTTCGGCGTATTCAGTCCGCGAAGTGAGTTGCAAAGCTTCATCTGTTGAATGCGGCGGAATTTGGACTGTTCTTTTTTCAGTGGTCAGAATGTCGGCGCGCAGAGTCAGCTGCAGCGCTCCTCCCCACCAGTCTGTCCTTCCTTCGATGTAGCGGAAGTAATCATTGAGCCGGCTGCGGCTGGGATGGATAAACTGCCCGCTGGCTCGTACCGTAAAGTTTACGGTAATCCTTATGGCGCAGTACCGCCCCTTACATCCGGGCCTGCACTTGGCGATGTTGCCACGGAGCCCTTGGACCTCAGCGGCAGGGTGGCCGGTCGTCCGCGCGGCGACCAAAGCTCCGTTCCGGTCACAGCAGGCGGACGGAAGAGCCGCAGCGGAAGCCGCGCGCCAGCAGGGCCAAGCGGACGGAAGGGCCGCGCACCGGCACCGCGGGAAACCTCAGTAGATCGGGCTGTCCGATATCTGATGAGTCTGTAGAACCGAAACAGGACGGACGATTTGTTTTTTCCACATTAATTCATTTTTTTTATATTCATCCATTTCATGTTTTATATTTGATAATAGTACTTGCTTTTGTTATTTTTGCCTTTATTTGTCTGCGGCATGCGAAAGCATGATGGCTTTTTATTATTTCATTGATAATGGTTAGTGATACTAAAATCTTTATCGTCGTCTCTTTTGTTTTTCTTGATTGTTTTATCATATGGAGTTGGCGATGTTGTTTGCTGTGTGGTTGTTTGCGGATTCGTTGCGGCTACTGTTGTCTGTTATTAATAAAAACGCCTTAAGTTTGCAAAGGTATTTTTTCGGATAATTTTCGGATAATTTGATACCGCGTTATTAGCGGTAAGGTGTACTTACTTGCAACAAAGGTGTA